TCTCCCCTCCATGCAAGCCTCCTCCCTCCCACCCAAACCCATCAGGCTGCCTCCCCGCATTCTCCATCTCCGCTGTCACTTCTCAGATTGACTCTACACAGAAGACTTGCTGCTGCGGGTCTAGAGCAAGCAACCGCTGGCAACCTGAAGGGCTGAGGGCGAGGAAAATTCTCAAGCTTAGCAAGAAAGCAGCAGAGAAAAGCCCTTAATCCAAACCCCGGGGAGGCAGGAGACTGTCCCAGTTCAGCCAAAGATCTGGGACCCCCAGGATACCCACTGCTGCTTGGTCAGCAAACCCAGATGGGTGGGTGCTACGGGCTGAACTGAAATCCCCCGCTGCCCCTGACAACACAGCACAGAAAAGCCTGACAGATCGATGGTGGCGAACGGCACGGAGCTAGGAAGGGAGGCTAGGTGGGTGCTGGGATTTCTGTGACTGCCCAAGGCCCTAGAAGTCATTACTCATCACGGCAGCTTGACCAAGTGACAGCATCCCAGGGCACAATGATCAGTCACATTTAGGAGCCTGGCACTGGACTCGAGGCCCCTGGGAAGCAACCAGGGCATGGGCAAAGCCGGTGGAGGGAGAGACATGGGGGTAGGCTGACCAGGGAGGAGGAAGAGGCTGGTGGTTCAGCTCTGGTGTAGGCTCAGATGGAGGGCACGGGGAGAACCTGCACATCTCCAGCTTCATAGGACCTACTGCCAAAGTCATCTGCGGACCAGGTACGTTCAAAGAGCGCTGTGGGGAATGCCTGCCAGGCACCAGCCCACACCATCTACAGTCACAAGAGCTAAATCAACGCTCCAGCACTTGGGCACTTGCGCTCACAATGCCTCCGGTGAGCTGCGTGCCGCGCTCTTCATAAACAAGTCATCTGGAAAATAAGTAAGCCTGCAAAAATCCAGCCCATCACAAGTTACCAAACCTGTTTCAGAGTAAAACAACCTCCAGCAGCTCACGTCAGGAGCCTGGTGGTGGAGGCGACCCCAGCCTCCCCAGCGCTGGGGCTCCCTAGATCCCAGCAAGGATGGCAGCGGATACCACGTGGGACTCCCTTCAAAAAGGAAGGTGTCTCTGGTGTCAGAGCCAAGAAAAGCTGGTGGGATTTTCCCTCTAGAGACCTAGAGCTTTTGAACTGCAGAAGCAATCAGCTGGGGCAGGTAGGAAAAGCACACGGGCCATCTCTACACTGGGGCTGGTGGCCAGCGCTGGCAGAAGACCAGAGTTCCTGGTACAGATTTGGGATTCATCCCTTCCTGTGCTCCTACCAAGCGTTGACCTCTCCTCTCTCCCATACTCAAGAAAGCACCTGAGCTGGGCTTATCTGGGGGCCTGCCAAGAAAGCAAGCTCAAACCCACCGAGGAGCAGACGGACTCGACAGCCCCATCCCTGTCTGTCCCCCTGGATTTGCTGAACGGGCACTTCTCCTACACGCCTGCAGAAGGATCCCCAAGGTTTTCCCCGCAGCTCTCAGCACCACAACGCACTTCCTCTTAGTGTTCAAAACCACCAGAGATCTTCAGAACGCGGTGGGATTTTTCTCCCGATTTCCCAAAAATACACTGCAAGCGAGGCCAGAGGGAAATCTACCTCCATCCCCTGAAACAAAACAGAAGCAGGAGCAGAGCCGCTACCCCAAGTCCCTTCCCGCTGGTGGCACCTCCGTTGAGGACAGGCAGTTGGGACATCCCCAAGCAAGCTCTGATGTACCTGGCCTCAACCAACCATGTCCCACAGAAAGATGGGACAAACATGGTAACACCCCACAAGTGAGTCCCTTTTTCTAGCTGCTGCCTTCTGACCCGTGCTTCAATCCTGACAATGTATTTTTCCCCCTTTTTGGATGAAATAAATAAGAAAAAAAGGCAACATATCAACCTCACGCTAGGGCAACTTTCTTTTTCAGCCCTGAAAGGAGGTTCGCCCATGCCGGGGAGATGGCAGGTTCCCCCATGCAGGCAGGAGGCACGTGGCTGGGGCAGCAAAGGCAAAGATGGAAGAAAAAAAAAAAAAAAAAAAAAACACGTTTCATTTTAAGACCTTGACACAAGCAAAACGACAAGAAGCAAAGAAAAGAGGGTGCGTTGTTGGCTTTTTTTTTTTCTTCCCTCTCCTCTTTAAGCGCTACAAAAACAGGAAACAAAGGAGAAAACATCTCACAGGGGGGAAGGGGATCAAAAAAGGAAAAAAAAAAAAAAAAAACAAAAACACGTTTCATTTTAAGACCTTGACACAAGCAAAACGACAAGAAGCAAAGAAAAGAGGGTGCGTTGTTGGCTTTTTTTTTTTCTTCCCTCTCCTCTTTAAGCGCTACAAAAACAGGAAACAAAGGAGAAAACATCTCACAGGGGGGAAGGGGAGGTAAGCGCTTTATACGCCCACGAAAGAAAGATTAACCACATATTTTATTTACTGTTTGTATTACGGTTGCACCGTGGAGTTCAACCGATTCCAAGCCAGGGCTCTGCGGGTTTGTGCAGCACCTAATGCTGAGCATCCCCCTGCATCCCCCAAACCCACCGAGCACGCAGCTCCGCTCCGAGCCAGCCCTCCACAGACACCCTCCTTCCTCCCGCAGACACTCGCCTCCGGCCTCTTTTTGCCCAGCACGACCTCTCCTTCTTGCCCTAATTGCCATCTCACAGCCGAGAAAGCACCAGTGCTGGCCCCTCAAGGAGTTTTGAGCCCCGTTTCCCCTCCGGAGTCGGAGCGTAACCAGGGGTAAGATGCCCTTCGAGGTGGGCCGGCAGCAGAGCCAGAGTAATAAATGCTAAAAAAAGGTGAGTTTATGGGGAGTGTGTTTGCAGGTTTCCATCCCTCCTCCAGGCAAAGGGGGCCACCCCCACCACACCAGGTCGATGTTGCACCCCCCCCTACACACACACACACACTTCCAAGTCCCCCGCACCACCGGCAGGGCTCTGAAGCCTCCAAACTTTGACTCATTTCTCAATTAACAGTTTCCCAAACGCCAGCCACACATGGAACAAACCTCTCACGACGGGGCCTCCCCCGGACCTCCCAAGCCCGGCATTACTCATCCATCCCCCCCCCAAAGTCCTCCTTCCCCGGGATGCTCCGGGCACTGTTCACCACCACGGGGTGAGCAAGCATCCAGGAATCCCGGGCCCAATTCCCGCAGGCGGGAAGCCGTCACCGGCTGAGCCACCCTAATTTGGGAGCCACCGTGGCCACCTTCCTTGCTTACTGGCAAGGGGCAACTTTCAGGCAGAGACCTGCCCAAGGGCCAGCAACCTGCCGGGTGTTTTTCCTTGGGGCTCTTCCCTACTCCAGCCAGTTCTTGGAGGAATTGCTTCAACTGCAGGGGGGATGCTTCGGGCACGCTGTCCCCCAGCTTTGGGTTGTCCTCCATTGCCCCAGCCTCCGAGCACCCAACCGAGCCACGCGCCCAGCGGGAAGAGACAAGCTTATCACGGCAGAGAAAGGAAATTAAGATAAGGCAGCAATGGAGGTACCGAGGGATTTGGCCAAGGTCACAAAACAAGTCTGCAGCTCTACGATACAGCCGTCCGACGCGCTCGGTGTCTTGGCCACACATCTTAAAATTTCACACCAGGGCCAAAAAAATCCAGCCTAGCTGGTGGCAGCCTCCTGCCAGGTCATTAGCAGCGAGCATCCGCAAGGAGCAGCGAACATCCAGCCCTAACAACAGCAGCAGCAGCAACAACAACAAAAAAAAAACCCAAAAAACAAAACCACGCAGCAAGAGCGGGAATAGATGAGATCAAAGTGTCCTGGAAAAGGACCTGGAAAAATACTTTTGGTCCCTGGCGAAGACTCCTGGGAAAGGCAGACACCAGCCCCGTCCCAGCCCCGCGCAGCCCTCCCGGGGTGGCTCCCCACCCTGGCAGAGGGAGACCAAAATGACTCCCTATAAATAGAAGCAGAAAAGCGCTTCTCCAAAAGCCTGGCCGGGTCTTTCCCCTCCCAGCGCGTGTGGCGGAGCCGCTGGCACCTCCGCGGAGGTCTCTGGTTTTCCCCCAAAAAACCTGGAGAGGAAAATAACCTTCCTGTGAGCTCAGGCTGGCTCCTCTCCGCACAGAGCCGTCCACCCCCCCCTCCCAGGCCTGGCCATCCAATTGGAAAGTAATTATACTGCAATTTTTATTTATGACTTTTTTTTTTTTTATTGCTAAATGGTGACTCATTTTGGCAACATTAAAATACACAGGAAATCATCCCCATTTTACAGTAATCACCATTCAATTCATTGTTAAATATCAGATGGTCTGGCCAGGAGCGAAATACAGACTCGCTTTCCCTCGAATCCATGCTGCTTTGGGGAAGGGCGGGGGGGGGAGGGGGGGGACAGCCATGTCACCCCTATTAAACCCCCATTATTTGGCCAAACCCCAGGTGTAAATGCCCGTCAGCGAGAAGCCGTGGGTCCCCGACACGAGGCGGGGATGGCGGCCCCGGTGGGAGGCGGTGGGAAGAGCTGGCAGTTTGACATTCACAGGCCTTACAATGGAGGGGGGGGCCGCGTCTGCAGCCGCTTTGTGTCCCCCCTGTGGTGGGGGGGAAGCCCCATTTCGGGGTGACACCACCTCAGAGGCTGGCGGCTGCTCTGCTTCCCCCCACAAATGGCTGCACACCCCAGCAGGAACTGGGGGGATGACCCCTCCAAACCCCCAGACCAGGACCTTGACCCTTCCCCAGTGGCTGGTGGGTCCTACGGCTGAACGGCTCCAAAGGCTCCTGGTGCGGACCCCCTTCCCCATGGGACACCCCCCCCTTGCCTGCGCCCACGGGCTCCACCAACGCTCGGCTGGAGCGGCCACCTAACATGTCCGCCGTGAGGGGACCGGGCGGAGGAGGAGGAGGAGCAGCGCTGGGGTGGGTTTTGCGTAGGCCCTACACAAACGCCGGCCTTCAGGGAAGGAAGAGGGTGGCCGAGGAGAGCCCAGAGACAACCCCCCCCGCCCCAACACCACCATCACCCCCAGCCCCACCTCCACGGAAGGTCCGACTCACCCTGATCTCATTGCGGCGGATCTCCACGTCGCAGACCGAGTGTCCCTGGTGGGCCCCGCTGTAGTAGCAGCAGAACTGGCAGACGGCCACCTGCTCGGCCTCGCAGTGGTAGAGGCGGTAGGCGTTGTGCTGGGGGCAGCTCCAGGCCCTCACGTCCTCCGCTTCCACCAAGAGATGGCCCCGGGCGGTGGAAGGTTGTTGGAGATGGGTCTGGACATGGGACTGGCAACAGGGGGCTTCGCACCTCAGGCAGATCTTCTGGGCGGGCAGCGGCGGGCCACGGCGGCAAAAGACGCAGTGCAAGACGGTGGGGGGCTTCTCCAGGTTGAGGGAGTTGAACTTCTCCACGATGTTGGTGAGCTTCAGGTTCTTCTCCAGGTTGGGCTTCTGGTTGTAGGCCTGGTTGCACTCCGGGCAGCGCACCAAACCCGACTCCTTGGCCCAAGCCTCCCCGATGCAGCCCCGGCAGAAGTTGTGCTTGCAGGGCAGCTGGACCGGCTCCACGAAGACGTGAAGGCAAATGGGGCAGATGAGCTCCTCTTCGAAGCAGTTCTTCCAATTCTCGGCCATCTCTGCCGGGCAGCCTCTGGCAACGGTTTTCCACACACCACCACCACCACCACCCCCACCACCCTCCTCCTCCTCCTCTTGGGTCGCTCAGTGCGGTCTAAGGGCGGACGCCGGGGTCTGTCCTCCCTGCAAAGGGGGGGGAAGCCAAAAAAGGGGTTGGGGGTGGTGAACGGATGGAGGGGGATCCCTGTCCCCCACCCCCAACTCGCCCCGTAATTAATCAACCCCAGATAAATCCCAGCCGATCTTAAAAACATCGACAAAACGCCAGGGCAGCACTCTAGGAAATCTCCAGCCAGAAAACGCGACGGCCCCACCGCTTCGTTAAAATAAATAAATAAATAAATAAATAAAGCAACACAAACGATTAAAACAAACAAACAAACAAACAAACCCACCCCAATATTGTCGGATTTACAGCCCCAAAGTCTCAACCACCCCTAAAAAGCCGTTCTGTTCGTTCCTTTTTTTTTTTTTAAACCCCAGAAGGTGAATCGCAACTTACCAAAGGTTGAAAAAAATCCATACAAAATCCAGCAGCGGAGTCCAAGTTCCATATAAAGCTCCTAAATTTAGCGCTCCGGATCGGATTTTTCTCTTCTTAGGTTTGCAACTGACATTCAATATTTTAAAGGGACTTTTGTGTCGTCCCCCCCCAACACCACCACCAACCTGGCGAACAGCTGAGAGCACCGACTGGCTGGATTTCTCCTCCCTCTCCCCCTGATGGGAGTTGGGAATCGGGAGTCTTTTAAAGGAAACAGATCAAAGGGGTTAAGATCCAAAACGGGAAAAGGAGGAAGGTTTTAAAAAAAAAAATAAAAAAATTAAAAAAAAAATAATAATAACGATAGCGACGATGACGATGGTGAAAAAGCGAATTCTCTCCGCCGCCCCTGAGATTTGCTTCTAACCCGGCGGAGCAGCAGAGAAAAAAAGGAAGAGGAAAAAAAAAAAAAAAACAAGCCACTTTTCTGCAACAGCTTTCCCAGAAACAGTCTACCCCTACCTGTAAATGAACTTTTAAAAAGAAACTATAACCAAATTGGCCATGAAGAAACCCGTGACTTTCACTTCCCTAACAATTAATGCTTTCCCATGATCTCATCACTGCATAACAGCTTTGCAGCCTATGCATACCATATTAAAAGTTCCCAAGATAACTTATAGCCTCACAACGTCACTCAACTCTGACACCAAGGCAGCAAGTTATCTTTTAGAATTTTGCAAGGAAAACAGGAAAAATGTGGAAGGTGCAAACAAGAACGTCAACTAAGACACAAACACAGAATAAACATAAAAAGGTTAAATAAAAGGTCTGAGAAGCAATCTCTCACAGCAGAAGACAATTATTCCAAGTCAGTCGGACAGCACTGAGTGAGAAAGATTCCAAAGAAGAGGATCCTGCTTAGGGAGATGACAACTGATCCAGAGACAGGAGAGTGCTGCAGCCAGAGGAGCACTTCCCTCACACCCTTCCCAGTTCAGGTATTTCCTGCTGACAAATGGGGAGCCCAGTCAGGAAATCAAACAAGCTGAAACCCAACCTGATAAAAAAAAAAAAAAAAAGAAAAAAAAAAAGAAAAAAAACCCCTCTCGCCTGCCTCGAGATTGCGAGGTCTTGAATGGGAGAGCTGGGTCATTCAGAGCAAACCCCAGCCTCCCCCAACGCTGCCGGAGAGGGATGGGGGGAGGACGGGCTCTGACGGGGGGGGATCCAAACCCCGCGTCCCCCCAAATCAACCTGCTCCGAACCCACCGACGGGGAGGGGGGGGTGGTTAAAGGCGAACGGGGGGAAGAAGGGAACCTAGCCCGGTCTCATGGCCGGCCGGGGGGGGGAACGCTGCCCCCCGACGCAACAATGCGATGGAGCCGGGGTTC